CCTTCTTGTGGCATCTTCTCTGTAGATGCTTACTTTTTCTATATCTGTTTATCCTGATGCTCCAGTTCTCCTGTATAGGAAGCTTATCCCGCAAAGGTAAATGTTGGTTCAGCTACATCAGGAAGGTACTAATGGATACTCTGGAGGTGGTGGTGGATTCAGTCTGATTGTTTGTTGGTAGATATCTTGGTTTTAAAATGAATTGTCTCTATGACTTTTTTAAAAATGTGTTGCTGTAAACCAGGGATCTCCAAACTTTCTAAACAAAGGGCCAGTTTGCTGTCCTTCAGACTTTAGGGGGGCCAGACTGTGGTCAGTAGAAGTTGAAAATAGGAGTAAACAATGCCACATCTAGTTGGAGGAATAATGCGTCATCATTGGTGGCAGTGGGACAAATAATTCCCTATTGTTGGTGTCAGTGTTAGGAATTACACTCCTATTGGTGGTGTCAGTGGGAGGAATAATTCCCCATCATTGGCATCAATGGGCAGAATAGTACCCATAATTGGTATCAATGAGAAAAATAATGCCCTTTGATTGGTGTCAGTGATAGGAATTATGCCCCATTGGTGGTGTCAGTGGGAGGAATAGTATCCCATCATTATTGTCAGTGGCAATAATAGTGCCCGACTATTGGTGTCATTGGGTGGAATAGTGCCCATATTTGGTATCAGTGGGAGGAATGATGCCCCATTGTGTTAGTGGCAAGAATTATGCCACCATTTCTAGTGTCAGTAGGAGGGATAGTGTCACAGGGGCCAGATAAAGGCAAGCAAAGAGCTGCATCTGGTCCCTGGGCCACAGTTAGGAGACCACTGCTGTAGATACTGCAAAATCTATTGATTTTCATAATATCTGCAATAAAATTATTTATATAACATTATTAGCCATGTTTTCTTATTCATTCTTATTTTTTACAGTTGATCAACTACAGTTAAACAGACCACATTATTTAGAAGGATATTGTAGTCAGATTAAAAAATATGATTCTCCAGTTGGAGATCCAGCTGCCATATTGAGGACAGCCCCATATTAAATAGTATGTATAGCCAAAACCCTTTAATTGTCCATATGGTCATTGTCTCTAAGAGAAGAGACATCTTTTGAAGCGGGCATCTGATCTGGTAACAGTTGTCTAAGAGGGGAATTCTCCTCAGTTTATAGATGTTTCCTTTCACTTTCTGTTGCATCTGTAGGACAGGAAATGGATCCAAAGCTCTCCGATGTGACATGATTTCACTTATAATTTACAATGAAAGAACATTCTTGATACATTTTTACCATAGACTGCCTTTTGGTTGAACTCGATGGGCATGTTTTTTTTCGGCTTGACAAATGATGTAACTATGCTTTGATCCTTCTTAGTGAAGCCAGTGTTAGCCAATATACTCTGCAATGAATGGCTTATGTATACATCCATTTCAGTATTCACCTCAGGCCTTACATTTTGTTAAGGTGGTCCCATCAGAGCCTGTGAAATGATGTGATCGTATTGTGCCACACAGGTGATGACCTAATGGCTGTACCTCGTCACTTTAGAGAGATGGTACTCTCCTGGTCACACAGACTGTATAATTATTGCAATGAATGCCATCCTGTAGAAATGGAACTACTCATCTCTCTTCCTAGATATTGTAATACTTCCTACAATGTAATTATTTTGGCCTGCACTTTCAAACATCTATAAAGTCTCATGTATCTGCAGACTATTAGAAAAGATTAAATCACATTCTCTGAAAAGTTTCTCCTACAGCACATTTTCTTTTATGATACAAATGATTTGTTCTCTGATACTAGACTGTCAATTCACCAAAGGCCACAGGTCTGACAAAGATTCATTTTCAATGACACGCTGTTCTATGGCTTCATTACTTTTTGCATGCTGCTGAAGAAAAAAGTTCTTTTCAAAAACACCTTCCCGTTTTACCTTGTTATTTGTGATTTAAAATGTGTGTCACTTTGTAGGTAGATTGTATTACAAGGCATAGTTTATCTAATATTACGTATTGATAAAACATGAACAGGAGTGTGTGAAGTTTGTGTTTGGATAAGGAGTTGGTTTTACTGTTTGCTGCTTAAAGGAATAGAAACTTCAAAAACATTCTGTTCCCAGTTCTGTTAAGGACAGGGGAAGGGTCCACTCTGAATAATTTTATATAGACCCACTGTGCACTTTATACTCTTCCTGTGATCTCTAACTGTACTCTCCTCCATGTTTTCCAAGTTTAAGATCTTTAGGAAATGAAATACAACAGGGCTTGTGCAAGAGTCTAAGGCTAGGGTCAGACATATGCGATGCAAATTCGTTCAGCTTTCAAGTGCCATTCAGTGAGCATCTGCAGCACGGTCCACCTGCAGTTCTGTTTGAATAACAAAAAAAAACAGAAAAAAACCCACTCTATTAGTACCCACAGCACTAAATAAATAAATAAATAAATAATAAGTCAAATTGATCAGGAAAGCAGCTACCACCCAACTGTGCAATCACTCCACTGTGTTAATGAATCAAAATCAAATACGGGTGAATCGCTTCCAATATGACATAACAAACCAAATATATAACCTCATACCATAACCCTTTATCATAAACAGAGCCCCCCAGTATTCAGTATCCTTTTGTGAATGTGCAATATATATATATATATACATACACACACACACACACACACACACACACACACACACACACACACACACACACACACACACACACACACACACAGTATAGCTCTTAAGGCATTAAAAACAAAATGAAAACGTATAGTCCAATGTGAGAGCCCCACACACCAACCAATTTTCGTGCAATCCTCAGTCGACATATTAATTCTTGTCAGAACAACAATATGACTTTCTTCAACATGAACAAACACCACTGTGCCCTTCAACACACCTCATAGGTATCTCCTCACTTTATATTATGGACCCCACTGCAAAATGCATTGTAGAGAAATTAGTCACAATAGAAGCACAACATTCTTAGCTAATTTGTATGGAGAGCAGAATCTTGGCAGTATGCCAGCTTTTTTAATGTAAACACACAGCAGGTGTTTTTAAGCTGTTAGAAACCAAATAAAACTACCTTTAAAATCTTTCTTGTGGTATTTGATACTGAATTACTTTACAGTACAAACATCTGGAGAGATCAGAGATGCACTTTAAAGTATATGTAAAGCCCAAACTTTTTTTTAACATTTGATGCAAAAGGGGTTTAGAATCTCTAGCATGTTTTTATTGCTCCCTTTGTCACCCTGTGTGGATCGATCCTCACTTTTGGTCCTGTTGACCATTGCCTGCATTACAAAAAGTGAGGGAAAAATACCAAAATTTTAAGTCATCTCAGGAACATGATGAGGAGAAATCTTCCAATGGGGAAATGTGTTCTGGTGACAGCTGTCAAAGTGGGGGTATCCCACCAATGTGGAGAAATCTTAGGCTTCTTTCATTAGCAAGTGGTTCCCCACATACTGGGACCGACCTTGTGGCATGGGGATTGCTAAGGACCTAGCCTGAGACTCACGGAGGATGTAGTGAGGCCTCACAAGAAGAATAAGCATGGAATGTGCACAAGTGAGCTTCCTAGTGACCAAGTGAAAGATATGGATCAATGTCACTGGGAGCGAAGTGATAGGTTACTGGATTGGTGGAGCCTTGTACAAGCTTAGCAGTACCAGCTCAGAAATGCTGCAACTTAAGTGAGAGAAGTGTTCTGAAGCATAATGAGGAACAGTGTCTGCAGGGACAATGCAAGTTGTTACATAAATTGGCCATGGATTACAATCAACTGTGTTCTCAAGGAGGAGACTTACTTTTATAGATGGAGTGCCACCTTAACTCTGAGTCAGTGTGAAAGTCCCCCTCAGCCCACCTCTGGGGACACTAGCAAGAGTTCACTCTGGGTCCTACATTTGGATGCAGTAAGCCCCGTCCACAAAGTGACAACTCTATATGCAACTTATTACTGAGAGCAGTAGCAGGATAAATTGTTATTCATTTACCGGGTTGTCCATCATGCAAACAATGTTATAGTAAGGATCATCAAGCTGTCTGTACAAACCCAAATTCTAAAGCTGCAATTGGTATATTTTGACAAATAACTGTATTTCTAAATAGACATGGGTTAAGTAAATAAAAGCTGTTTATATTAGGGAAATGTCAAATCCCATCTATATGTCACAAACATGTCACAAATAACTCCATATTTTACTGATGAGAAATATTATAATAAAAAATACACATTATTAGAATAATTTTTAACACTGCATACACATTGCAATCTGTCATTACATGCTTCTACTTCCCTCATTCTATTATTACAATATCTATCTACTTTATATGCATCTTATGATAAAGAGACAGTGAGGAAGGGTAGCTTGCCATTTTATAAATAATTAAGGGAGTAGCTCCACAGCATCCTTACAATTGGTATAATTTGTTTGCCTTTAAAAAAAATATTGCTGAAATCATTACAAAAATGTTACAAGCTCGCATCTATTTTTAAGAGTCATTTTTCATTTCAGGTCCTAGGAGAACAATTAAAACGAGGGCTTCCCTGGCCTCTAAAATAGAACTTGTAGTCAGTTTATCAAGGCAGGATACTTGAGAAAGGGGAATAATACCACAAATAGCATTCCCTGCTGTCACATGATCCAGAGAGAAATCAGTGCATGTAATGGAATGCATGAGACAAAATGCAGATAAGACACAGCACTGTTGTAGGCAATAATGACTGTCTATATTGATTATCTGAAAATGACACATCCCTTTTTCTGTTTCTTGAATTGTCTGTATGTAGGTAAAAGATAGCTAGATGTACAGTATATATTCAATGTAAATGGTCATTCCCTATTAATACAAGAACTCCAGTCTAGTTAAAAAAGTGTAATGCTGTATTCATACAAAGAGTTGTTTAACCACTAGCCTACAGGGCACTTATACCCCCTTCCTGCCCAGGCCAATTTCCAGCTTTCAGCGCTGTCACACTTTGAATGACAATTGCGCAGTCATGCAACATTGTACCCATATGATTTTTCTCCTTCACTGATGTGCGCTAATGAGGCTGCAGTGATGGACACTGATATAGGCTGCACTGATGGACACTGATAGGTGGCACTGATGGGCACTGATGAGGAGGCACTGGTAGATTGCTCTGACGGGCATTGACAGGCATCACTGATGGGCACGAAAAGGCAGCACTGATACATGCCACTGATATATGACACTGATAGGCGGCACTGACTGGCACTGATAGGCGGCACTGACTGGCACTGATATGCACTGATAGTCAGCACTGACTGGCACTGATATGTGGCACTGATTGGTAGCACTGATAGGTGGCACTGATTGGCATTGATAAGTGGCACTGACTGGCACTGATGGGTGACATTGAAAGGCAGCTCAGATGGGCACTGATATGTGGCATTGATGTGCACTGGTATGCACTGATATGTGGCATTGATGTGGCACTGATGGGCACTGGCACGTGGCACTGATGAGCACTGACAGGTGGCACTTCTGGGGCCACACTGATCATCAGGGCACACTGATCATCAGTGCCCTGATCATCAGTGTACATGTCCCTCTGCGGAAAGCCGATTACCGTCTCTCCTCTCCTCTCGAGCTGTCAGCGTGACAGCTCGAGAGGAGAGAAATGTTGATAACTGGCATTTCCGTGTTTACATGTGATCAACTGTGATTGGACACAGCTGATCACATGATCGAGCCGACATCTTCAGCTCTTTCGGTGATCCGCTGTGTCCGAGGGACACAGCGTACCGGTGATCGCCGCGCTGAATGCTCCCTGAGCCGCGCATGCGCAGTGAGAATGGTAGGACATCATTTGACATCCTATCAAAACGAGAGAACCACCTTACGCCCGTCATTTCACTATAGGGCGGGCGGAAGGTGGTTAATTACTTTATATATTCTGTGAATATCTTTAAAAATTAAGGTATGGCCTAAACATGGTCTCAGGTAATAATACTTTTAAAAGTGCGGATGTCCTGTTTTTCTCTGCAAGTACCCGAGTAAGTCATAATGTTAAACCCAAACTGTACAGGGCACCTAGCCGTCTTTCCAAGATGTGATTAAGAGCCAATTCACACATGATGCAATGACAGGGCTTTTACTACATTGTAAAATGTATGTTACCCTAAGGATACATAGAAAACAATTGTTTTCTGTGTGTCCCATTCTCACTGCAACACAGCCCAGAGCTGCACTGTAGAGTGTTTCAATTAATTGAAGCATGCTGCATTTTTTTATTTAAAGTTTGTAAAACAAAATGTGATGCGCTCAATCGTTTACCATGCTGCCTCCTACCGAAATCAAGAACGGACAGCTACCAGAGAGGTAAAGCGCTATGGGAGCTGTCCATGAGCCTTAAAGCGGTAGTAAACTCTGTTTTTTAAGTTGTATCTACAGGTAAGCTTACAATCTGTAAGTATAATTAATACAATAAATATCTCCTAAATGTGTACTGTTGTGCCTGTGTCCCGGCCTGTTTCTGATTGAGTGGACAGGGACTTTGGTCTCAGAAGAGAGATTTAAGAGAAATACAGAGAGTTAGCTCAGTAGGGCTGTCTTTGAGAGTATACAAGAACAAGAGGCATCCAAGAAGCTGAACTTTAAAGCATATCAAAACCCAGCAACAAAAATGAAATGTACTGCAGTTTTCTTGGATGTGGTGACTGCTTATCTTTTTTCAGACTGTTTTATTTTATTTTTACATGGTGATCCTGACAATGACACACTTCCTTTCCTATTGCACCATTGGAAAAGTATCATCACCCTAGCATCAAAAAGCCTGTTAGTACTAGAGAACACTCCACACTCTTCTGTATAGCATTAGGGGTACACAGTCTATAGTCCCGATACATTTCCTAACAACATTGTTTAAGGTAAGACAACAGCGTGTACAGTACACAGAACAGTAATAGATTTTTGGCAGAATTAATAGGCATTTTTTATGGTTATCGAACTGATATAACAAAACACTTTAGTGTATATATATTTAACAGACTAAGACAGCCCGTAGATGATTTGATTTTCTTTCTTTCCACCATGGTTAGAAGGAAAGAAAATCACTCTATTCCTCCATAAACACAATCAATGTTGATGGAAGAATGCTTCTAACAGCACTATTGTGTTCTACCCTAGGGGAAGGTGATGCAGGGAGCCTTCCCTTCAAGCAGAACAAAATGATCATTGCTAGCGGCTATTGCCGTAGGCATTAATCACATGTAGAAAAATCCAACAGGCTGGTTGTACCCAAGTTGAATGACTTGGGTACAATCAGCCTCTCCTTCCTGAACTTTCCTCATTTTGATCCATGTATGGCCAGCTTAAAAATGAGAAACTAAGAGAAGTTAAATTTTAGGGTCTACATACCCTTTAGGTTTTTTGTAGTTTTCTAACTTACACCTCTGTATGGGATATTTCTGTTTTGCTACTACATTTTGAAAACGCACCTTGTCAAAAGGACTTACTCCCTGAAGTGTAAGTTTAAGACTCATCCCTACGATACAATTTATTTATAATTATAACATTTTTAAAAGTGCCTTAGATTCTCTTTGGCTAAAGAGAAATATATTTTCTTCATTGCATTTAATATTATGAATTTAATAAATGTATAATTAAACTTGTCCAAGAAAATGTATTTGTTTTCCCACAATAAATTTGTTCTAGTTTCTCAAGTAAACTAAAATTGTTTGTGAAGCTAAACTGCTATTGTTTGTTCTCTAATCTTTTTAGTGGATTTAACTTGGAATAGGATTTAGCCCTAGTAAAGTTTAATAACTGAGAATTTGGGACGAGACGAATTAAAGATTTCAGGGTCATTGTGAGGGCTCATTAACACACGTATTTGAATATCTGCTCAGGGTAGGTTGTCAGGCATAATGTTTACTTCAAGGTAAGCAGAGCTTCAACAGAGCCATACATAAGGATTATGGATGTGTATAGTATGTGACTTACACCAATATACCATATACCTGGTGTGGGAGCTGGCACAAAGATACAGCAATACGATCAAAGGTAGCAGTTCTGTTCCTTTTACCTTTCAGAAATGAACGTTTGGATGACCAGCAGCAGTAAGTGAAGTCACAATTTTCTTTGTTGTCTAATAGGTCCATTTATAGGTATCACACATTTACCACACAGCCTAAGCCTAACTGAGTAATCACTTTAAATTGTACGTATAGCCAAAACTGTGTTTTAGTTTTGGACAGAGAAGGGAATGATTAGAACCCTCAGGCATTTTTTTCTTTATGGGACACATGCATAAGTGGCACTAGATTGCCTATATATCTCATTAATCAAGCTCATTTGCTATAGTGAGGCTGCATACATATACCAGAGGTCTAGTAAGAAGTACAACTAAGAAAGAAGTAGATAAGGCATCACACCAATAGTCAAAATGATATTTTATAAAATATTCAATAGACTAGAAAGCCAACACGTTTTGTGTGGTTCAGACATTTTTTTCTCTTCATCGGGGCTTAAATACCATGTATGTAAATAATAAGATCCTTAACAGAAGTTTGTGCAGCATGCTGCTTAATACATAAGACTATTCTTACAATCCAATCCAGTCCAGCCTTATCTGAGGTTCAAATGGTAAGGTGCTACAACCCTTTCAATGAAGCGGGCAATTCCTTGAGCACGTAGGTGCCCAGTCCACAGCTACACATCTGTTACATCAAAATCCAAGTAGAGGATCCACAGCTCTGTATACTGCTCATTAAAATCGTCCTTTATTAAATATTTCACAGAAGTACACAGCCTTTATACAAATATGTTGATTCAGCCTTAACAGGCTTTAGTCATAACCCTTAAGGTAGAATTCCAGCATAAACTTATCTAGTCTTAAAACATCCCCTCCCACCAACAAGTATTCTGGCACTTATCTGTTTTTAGCCTGGTCCGCTCTGGTCAAGTGATCACATGCCAGCCTGCAGTTTCTGCAGGGGGAGAGGAGGGAGCATGACAATAACTTGAATATGGGAACATGGGTGAAGTCAATACTCCATGCTTTGCCAGCCATTGTCAAGGGCTTCTTCTTCTCCCTGCACCCGCTGCTTTTTTCACACAGGTTAGCCAGTATAAGTGTTAGCGGGGGGGAGGGGACATTTCTAAGACTAGATTGGCTTGGGCTGGAATTTAAGCCCTAATGAATGGAAAAGTGTCTTAGTCCCTGAAATGCATTGAATTTCCTGTTCTACTGAATATGTAAAAAAATACAATTTTGGACTTCTTGACAAAGGTGCGGTGTCCTTACTACTTTTTACATAGTTGAATTGTTTATTACTGTCTGTGTGTTCATTAGGTAGACAAGAATTGCCATCAGAGCAAGAGTTTTTTACAATAGGGACACCTTTTCATGTGACAATCAGCCTAAAGAGGGAATTACTTCCCGCTTACTTTGAAGACATTTCCTTTCACTTCCTGTTGTGCCTCTGGGACAGCAACAATAAATGACAGAATTAAACCATTCCCAGCTCTAACTGACTAATAAAAATGTTTTGGCTATGCATCAACTTCAGTTTATTTAGACAATAAATGGTTTCTCAAACTAGTAAAGCAAAAAGTTCACTTTTATGTAGGCAAAGTGTATCGTTTTCATTGGGTAAACTATTGACCTAGATATGTGGTCTTATTCGTTCACTACAGTGCTGCATGAATCTTCAAACATCATAAGGTTTTGATACCCAAGCTTTTTATTTTGATAAACTATGTTCAAAAGTTTTTATTTTGAGTTCTGGAAAAAATCAGAAAGGATTTAAACCTCTGTCATGTAGTGGAAGGCTGAGGAAGACTGAAACCCCAGTTTTTTTTATTGCAGTCAATGTCACTTTGGAAGATTTACCACACTCACTTTCTGGTGAAACTATTGTCACTTTGATAATTTGTGATGGAGCCTCAGATAGCAATAAACTTTCAATGAGTGTTGCAATCCTTCCTCACTCTATACAAAAATAGAATAGAAATAAACTTAAATTTAGGGATGTCTTGGTTAAGTAGAACTAAAGGGATAACTTTTTTCCATTTTGGACAGTGTAAGAGCTATGACCCCGTCAGTATTTTGCCATTTGTGTTCCTTTGAGGAGATTTCCCTTCAATTCTTGTTCCCATAGTCACAACATGAAGTGAGATTAAATCCATCCAAAGTGAGGAAATCCCTGCTTGTTGCCAGAACTAGCACCCCCATTGCTCCCCTGTGTTCCTGCTCTGGTGAAATACGTATTTGATCTTCTGCTGTCTAAACCTTAAAGAGTTTCTTCAGCCAGTACAGAAAAAAAATTAAAAGTCAACAGCTACAAAAACTGTTTTATAAAGCTAGAAAAACATTTACAGCAGCTACAAAAACTTTTAAGAAAAGGACACTCAACTGTCTAGGGATCCAGTGTTGTCCTTACCTGAGCTGGTTCTTCACCATTCTTTGGGTCTTCAGCACTGGATTTTAAACTGTGGGCATCTGCCGGTGACTCCTTCCATGTCACAACTGGCTGCACGAGCTGTGCTGCACATGG